CCACCATAGCCAACCACCTCACACCATCTTCCTCCTCCATCTTCGTCGCCCATCCTCCATACCCAACCACCTCACACCATCTTCCTCCTCCATCTCCTTCACCCATCCGCCATAGCCAACCACCTCACACCGACTTCCTCCTCCATCTTCTTCACCCATCCACCATAGCAAACCACCTCACACCATCTTTCTCCTCCATCTTCCTCAACCACCCTCCATATCCAACCACCTCACACACCCTTCCCCCTTCCTCTCGATCACCAACCAAAGGCCATGACCAAAGGGGCACAAAGAAGCAAGGTATACAAAGAGAACCTTAGGTAGGATGGTGGGATAAGTAGGGGACAAGTTGATTAGTAGGAAAACTCTCTCTCTTTCTCTGCCTCTCCCCCCCCTCTCTCTCTCTCTCTCTCTCTCTCTCTCTCTCTCTAGAGCGCGCGCGCGCGCGCTTCCTCCTCCACTATCCTCTTTCTCCTCCTCTCTCTTGCCTCCTCTTCTCCTTCCTTCACCGTCGCCTCCCTCTCCCCATCAACATCCTTCCCCCACGCTCTAAAACCTTGATCTTACCTCCTCCCCCTTTCCCCTCTTGGCATATAACTAACCCTTCCCCCAATCACTTGTTACATTGCTAGGGAATGAACGGTGAAAGGAATCTGTCCTCACTTGGTGGAGAAAGTGGGCAAGGGGAGGGTTGTCGGTCCCTTGTGCCACCAAGAAGGAAAGAAAAAGACACTTGAGAAATTGGAAGGAGGGAAGTCCGGAAAGGGACTAGAAAGAGTTGGTACTTAGAGCAAGGTCGGTTGACTCAACCATTACCCCGACTGCATGACTAAGGGAAGAGATTGACCTGGACTGAGGAAGGAAAAGGAAAGCACAAAGAGCTAAGGAAAAGTGAACTTAGGCTTGTGGGAGGGATTATGTGTTGACCCCATGTGGGGGATGCTTTTACATAAATTGTGTTGAATGTGCAGATAAGTAGCCTAAAGAGTCGTTGAGCGGGAATGGGTCCCAGGTACGTCGGGCGGCAAAGAGAAAGTGGGACTGAGGTCAAACAGGTTGTGGACTTAACCCTTGCCCTTGAATAAGTTCTTAAGCATGTTTGTGCAAAGCAAAGTCGGCCATAGCAAATTGCAAAGACATAAGGCGACCAAGAAGGCCGTCTGGATTAAAATAAAAAATTTGGACGTGTATGCGGGACGGGGCCCCGAAAAGACGAAGGGGTGTATAAGACAAATGCATAGGCCGGAAAAAGGGAAAACATGTATGATGTATGCGACCATGAAAGTTACGAGTAGGATGACCAAAATGGGAACAGGCAAAAGCCCTAGGGAGGCGTAGGGGGACCTCGTGACATGGTCCGCGGGCCCGAGCCGAAGGGCGGCCGCAGGCTCAACAAGGTTGTCAGGACTCCCCGCTTAGTGAATGCACGCATGGCCCAAGGAGAACGCTTGGCCTACTCATAAAAGAAGGCAGACTTTCAATAAACTCCCTCGACTGCTTGAGTATTAGAAGGAGCAATTGCATGATAACACCTCAAAGCATTAAAAAAAACCACGTCCAAGAAAAGGTTGGCGAGACTACCATCCGGTGAGAGGGGGGAGCTACATCCTCAATGTCAAAGCTCTCTCGCAAAATGGCCCATCCCCATTCCCCTGTGACGAACGCTCCGCGCCCTGAGCATGAGTGCGGGTGGAGCAGAGCCAACTGGGACCCGCAGTGGGGTCGACTCAGGCTCGAAAGTCTATGAGGGTACAACCCTACACCGGTTGGTTTACACTTGTAACCACCTGCAGTCAGAGTTAGAGAAACAGCACCAGGAACTGGAGAAGCTCTGACAGGCAATGCGGAGCCACAAGGACCTGCACGAGGATGCCACGCGGGCACTTCATACCCATGTACAGGACTTGGAGCAAGCGGCACCAAGACCAGATGCCGGCGAACCCAACAATGCAGCCTCAACCCACCAATTGGAGCAATGACTCGACCATGTACTAGCGATGCTCGGCGACATCAGCACCTTCGCCGCACCAGCCTCCATCAGCGAGCAGCGCGACACCTTGAAGAACGAGGTTCGGCAACTACACCAGCCACCCGACAACGATGGCAGCACGAGTGCATCACGGCAGTATAAGATGCCGACGTTCCGGATAAAAAAGTTTGATGACTATACGCATCAAGACCCGATCCCCTGGTGGCAAGGCTTTACGACGGAGCTTCGGATTCATCAGGTCCCTGATCACTTGTACATCTCGGCGCTGTTCCTCAACGCCGAGGGCGGATGCCAGATCTGGCTCAGCCACATGGCAACCATCCACGGCGTCCAGGTCACCGACCTGCACAAAAGATCTCTTGGGTAGATCTTACAAAGGAATGGAAGAAGCTATTCATTGTTGACGATGCCTCGATGCTCGCCATTAACCGCCTCTTTGCCATGACTCAAGGCAACACACTGACATGCGACTGGCTCGGTGATCGCGAACAATACACAACCCTCACCGAAATCATCGACAAGGCTCGTGAGATCATCAAGACCGACCGAGTTGCTGCACACAAGAAATCAGCGTGGCAACCAGCCTATGTGGAGAAAGGAAAGTTCGGTCCGCGTCCGCAGCCCGTCGCTGTAGTCCCACCGGACAACCTTAAGGAAGACTCGACAACCACCCCAGCATCACGTGAGACAGATCAGGTGGCCGCCGTCCAGCCGTGAAGCAACAACAACTCTTGTGGAAAAGGGAAGGCAAAAACAACATCGCGGACCGAAACCAGTACCATGGGTCAAGTTCAGCTTGACCGAGACCAAATACACGTACCGCAGTCGATACGGCTGCAGCTATTGGTGCAACAGCACCAAGCACACGACCTCCCAATGCCAAGATCAAGGCACGGAGGATGTTCGACCTCGAACCAACTCGAGAAACTTAGCTGCGTAGGAGGGACGGCGACTTCATCTCTCACTCCGCTAGATTCGGCCGCCTTGCTAGCGGCCTCCTACACATCTAGGGAGAATGCGGATGCTGCAAGTCCTCGGTTCACTTACGAGGATTATGCTGTCCACTTGGTCCCACCGTTGCAAGACTCCACCGCATGCACGGTTTCATCACCATCGGCAACCGATTCAGCAGCTTCACCGCCAACTTTAGTCAGGGATTCGACGTCATGGTCAAGACTTGAGAAACTCGACCCGTTGACGTTTGCGGACTACCAGTGGATGCCCCTTCCCCCCACCGGTCGATTGCTGAAACCGCATTGCAATGTGCTCATGGCACAATTGCGGGATTACTTGCACACTACAGTACCAGCTCCATTGATGGACGCCGGAGTAGAGGTTGTTGACCTTCGCGACTACATTACGAAGATCGACCTCGAGTTCAAGACACAACGGTATGACAGCAACGACGCACGAGTGATGTACATACACATTCAGATTGGAAAAGCGACCTGCAACGCTTTGATCGATTGCGGAGCCACTCACAACTATATGAGCCAAGATTTTTTGGTACGTGCTGGCCTGGGGCTACTCGTTCGGAGGAAGTCGCAACCCACACAAGTCACGTTAGCCGACGGTCACACGCACAAGTCAATCGACTGGTGCATTGATTCCGTCCTCGTGTACTTCGTCCCGCATGCAAGTGAGGCGGTGTCCTTCGACATTTTTGACACCAAGTTCGACATGATTTTGGGCATGTCGTGGCTGAAAAGTGAGGATCACGTGGTGAACTTCTACCACCGCACCGTTCACATTCGTGATCGGAACGGAGTACTAGTCCCGTGCACGGTGCCTCCACCTCACCCTTTGATCAACTATCATGTGGTGTCCGCCGCGAGCATTCGAGTTTCCATCACCCGAGACGACATCGAGGAGATGGGTGTGTATTTTCTCCACAACCTCCCTTCGCATGACATCCCATCGACGGACGCATCGATGGACCCATGCATCACCGAGCTTCTAGACGCCTACGGTGACGTTTTTGAAGCCCCGCACGGAGTAGTACCGGATCGGTCAATCAGCCACGAGATCATCCTCGAGGCCTGGGCCGTACCTCCGCATGGTTGCATCCACCACATGAGCGAGGAAGAGTTAAGTGTGCTACGGGCACAACTCAATGACCTTCTTAAGAAAGGATGGATTCGATGTAGCTCTTCGCCATACGACACTCCCGTTCTCTTCGTCCGGAAGAAGAACAAGGACTTGCGATTGTGCATCGATTATCACAAGCTTAACTCGCAAACCATCAAGAACACCGGCCCTCTTCCACGCATTAACGACCTCCTCGAACGGTCGGGCGACACAAAATTTTTCTCCAAGCGACCATGCCCATGGCACCAGTCCTTAGCACCTACGACCCTACCTTGCCAACGAGAATGACAACCGACGCCTTTGGTTATTGTATTCGGCCAGTTTTAGAACAACACGTCGGCAACGACAGGCATCCCGTGGAGTATTTCAGCCACAAGGTGCCTCCCATCAACTCACTTGATGATGCAAGGAAGAAGGAGTTTCTCACATTCGTGATGGCTCTCAAGCGATGGCGGCACTTCCTCCTTGGGCATCGTAGGTTGACATGGATCACGGATAACAACCCGTTGACCTACTACAAGACGCAAGATACGGTGAGCAGCACTATCGAACGATGGATGTATTTCATCGACCAATTTGACTTCACACCGAAACATCTCGCCGTCCTCTTCAATCGCACAGCAGATGCACTCTCACGAAGACCCGATCTTTGCACTATGACACATCATACCTTCACATTCGACGAGGAACTTCAACAACATTTCATTCGGGGCCACCAGTCCTATCCGGGCTTCGCCACGCTATATGTGCAGCTATCTTCGGATCACCCGCCGGCCAACAATTATCGCATCGTCGACGGGTACTTGCTTCTCCACTCGCGATGCAAGGACTTACTCTGCGTTCCACGAGACCGTCGTTTTCGGACTCGCCTTCTCGGCGCGTACCACAACTCGCGACTCGCCGTCTATTTCAGAGTCAATCAGACTATTGCACGACTTCGAGAACAATTCTGATGGTCCGACGTCATCACCGATGTTACTCGGTATTGGGACAAAGCAAGCCCCGCAACCGCAATCCCTATGGCGAGTTGCGGTCGTTGCCTATCCCGCGGGAACCCGGCCTCTCCATTGCTATGGATGTCACCGACACATTTCTCCGCGACCGCCCCGGGCACGACGACATCCACATGGTTGTTGACCGATTGAGTAAATACGCACGATTTCTCCCTTGCAAGTACTACGTCACGACCCACGAATTTGCGCGCCTCTTGCACACCTGCTGGATTTGCAGCCACGACGTACCGGAATATATCGTTAGCGACCACGACACTCAGTTCATGTCGGCATTTTGGACTTCTCTCATGAAGGAGTCCGACACCGAAATGAAACCAAGTTCGGCTCGGCACCCATAAACGGATGGGCAAACGGAGAGAGCACATCAGACTGCTCAAATGATGCTTCGTACGCTCATCTGTCTGGATCAGAAGGATTGGGTTAACCGCCTCCCCGACATCGAGTTTGCCTACAACACTTTGTTGCATCCGGCGATCGACGTGACTCCATTCGAGTTGCACCACGGTGGCCGGAAAGACCGCATCTTCGCTGATTTTCTCCTCCCATGAACTGCCGACAGAGACACCACTTGCTATCTCGCCTTTGTCCAGAAGTACAGGGAATTACTAACTCAAGCCCGTGCGAACATGCACAAGGCTCAAGTCCACATGCAGCAGCAAGCCAACAGGGGTCGCGTGCCATGTCCCATCTGCGCCAGCTATCTGGTTTGGGTCTCCGTGGAAGAGTTTGCGCTTGAACAGGATGTTTCACGCAAGCTACTCCCCAAGTGGTTTGGACTATGGACCGTCCTTTCAGTCGCAGCCGACAAGCCTGACGGCCCATCTTTTGTGATCGACATCCCTCCACATTTGCCGGTCCATCTAGTCTTTCGCGCCTCGAAGCAGGCAACATATACACTGGCTAAGAGCAACGATTTCCCGGGCCGACGATCGCAAGACCCTCCATCTATGAATGGTCATCAGGAAATCGACCACGTGATCACGGATCTCAAGTACGACAACACGCCTCGACAACACAAAGTTACCTTCAAAGCATGCGATCCTAATGACACTTAATGGATTTCACGAGCAGATTTGCAAGCATCCGCACCTCTGATCTACGCTCACTATGAACGACAAAGACTAGTTAAGGAAGCTTCGTGACCTGCCCCTCCCACCCGGACTTTGGTCCCTCCCTCCGACAAGCAGCTTTGCCCTCACAGGTAAGCTCGGTCCTTCAAGGAGGGGGGGGTGTGGCATATTGCGCACCCCACCGGCTCCACCAGGCGGAATAAGGGTCCTCCAGGCCCTGTGTCATTTCAACCTAAAAGCGTAAAAAAGAGGGCTAATTTTAGGCCCTCATAAAGTCGACCTTTCCAGGAAACTTAGGCGCCAGACCAGGGATAAGCATAGGCCATTTTAAAGCTTGTTTCAAGACAACCTTTTTTTGAACTTCGGCGCCAGGGTCTGGCATGATTCGGCATTGGCAAGAGCAGCCTCCCAGTCGGGCCAACACTATATAGTACTGGTCCGCCCAGGAGGCAGTACGCAGTTCAGGAGGTAGTCTTCAGGACTCGGCAGCAGCACTCTGCAGGAGCGCTGCAGTAGTAGTAGGTCGTTCTGCGTCGGGCGGTTAGAGTAGCGTTAGAGAGGGAGGAGAGTGGCGGAGGTCAGGGAGCTTACCTGTGACGCCATCGCTCCAGCTTCGTCTTCGAGGTACCTGCAGCAAGGCGCCACCTTTCATAGGTTAGTACCGGGCACCAAGAGAAAGAGAGAGAGAGTTCTTCTTCTTCTTCTTCCTCCAGCCCGCCATCTTTCCCTTCCGCTCCAGCCACCCGACTTCTCAGTATCGACGGACTACGAGAGAGAGCGAGATTTGTGACTTTGGGATGTTGATGATATTTGGATACAAACTCGACTTTGGGATTGATATCAACGACATTGGTGTTGACAACATTCTTATCTTCTCCCTCCTTCTCGTTTGATCCCCCTCCTCTTCGTCTGTGTATGATCTGGGCTGCACACATTCTTCTTGTGTGTAGCGCCAGACCCCTTCACACCTTGCGATGATGATAATGTATGTTTGGTCTGCATTGCGACATTGATTGGTCTGATTGTTGGTATTTTAGCCTTCCGCTGCTCTATCCTGTACTATGTGAGAGAGGTCGGTTCTTGTTCTGGTCTGCACCGTTACGGTATGCAACACTAACGTAACTCTTCTCTCCCTCCTCTCTGTCTCTTCTCTCACATGTCTATCTCTGCTTCGCTTTCCTATGATGTTTCGCTGTTCTGAAATGTGCAAGCAAGAAAGATTTGGTGTTGCAATCATCTTTGGAGACTACATGTTGAGCGCCTGGTTAAACCACCAGTACCCCGCCCTGCAAAAAAAAAACGACCTCCTAAATTCAAGGAGGTCCCAAACAGGCACGGTAGAGGCTCGGGGGAGACTCAGACCTCTTCCGTTTTAGAATCAAAGAGGGGTTGGGTAAGGGGGGCGATTTCATCCAAAATGAGAGAAAGGCAGAGGGCGGGAAAAATGAAGAGAGAAACGAATCACAAAAAAAAAAAAAAAATGCAACAAAAAAAAACACAAAAAAAAAGTAACGAAGAGCAAAGTGTCCCGTTCGGGACACATGTTTGGCGGCGGGTGCAGGGCGGTCGCCGGTCGCATGAGAGTGGTTAATCGGCCGTTGCTGCACCCGTTGCGGCAACGACCACCAACGACCGCACCTTCCCCCTCCGCTGCTGCCTACTCCCCTCTTCCAAGTTGCTACCTTGCTGTCGTGTTCGCCGTTCCGTTCACAGTGCGGTGTGTATTGCCCAAACCGCAGTGAGTGACGACCATAGCGCTAATGATGTGTGTGTGTGTGTGTGTGTGTGTGTGTGTGTGTGTGTGTGTGCGTGAGAGCGGCAGCGGGTGGCAGCGGGTGAACGGGCCCCTGCTACGAGCAAGGGAACGAGAGAGAGAGAGAGAGGGAGGGAGAGAGAGAGAGAGAGAGAGAGAGAGAGAGAGAGAGAGAGAGAGAGAGAGGGCTTGCAGCAGCGGCGGCGCGAAGTCTAGCATAGCGGGGGCTGTGGGCGGCAGCGGGTGAGCACTTGGCAGCAGCCAAGTGACGACAGCAGGGAGCAAGGCCGGCAACGGCAGTTGAGGCCTGCCACGACGAGCTAGTGATAGAGCAAGAGAGAGAGAGAGAGAGAGAGAGAGAGAGAGAGAGAGAGAGAGAGAGAGAGAGAGAGA